CAGCAGTATTACAGCTCGCCTGCCTCTTGATTGTGCTGTGGTTCACTGTGCCACAACCCTCGTACAGTTCTTCTAGAAGGAGGTCATCTAAGATGAGAGAGTGGCGAAGGGCCAGCTTGTGTAAGGCACGCGAGGGAAGATGCACAACCAGCGCCAGGACACCAGGACTACGTCTCCCATTCGATTAAATCCCACTGAGACTTCACCAGCAGATAACATGACATTCTGCTGTCTTTTCCAAGCAAGCATCTCTGGACCAAGAAAATACAAAGCACTGCCAATAACAGCTAACTTTTTTTGGTTTTCTTTTGGGTTGGTCTTTTGGCGTTTGGGTTTTTTTAAGGGTTAAACAGTGAAGTTGAAATATTGAAGGAGGACATACTTAAAATCAGACTATGAAAGCAATGGAAGACCCATATTCTTCCCACACAAGCATCTTCAATGAATGAAAACCAAGGAGTAGTAGAAATATTGGATGGAACTCCACAATGTTCAATCATACGAGGTGTGCGAAGCGAAAGGCCTACATGAGGAGGGTAAAATGCACAATTCATGCCGATTCATGGGTATAGGTAGCCTGATAATAAACAATGCAGAAGAATCATCAAATGTCCTGGCAAAATATCTGATCTGTACACTGTTCCCAGTACTGAGAATCCGTTATTGTGACTTTTGAATTATGAATGATCTATGTGTGCACCAGTTTTGCCAAGCATTGTTCCCTGCTCGGTGTCCAAAGCTTGTGCTTACCTGAGCTTACTCAGCAATGTACAAGAACGCCATGGTGTCCTTCCGTGGGTTTTCTAAAGAGGAGAGACTGAGGAATACCAGTGCAGGGCAACCCTGCAGATATTTGACATGACTGGAGAGTCCCTGTGAAGCTCAGTGCACACTTGTGACAACGGAGTGGCCAGCAGAGCACTGCAGTATGCTTTCCAGAGACACAGCCGTGCCAGTTATGGCTAAGCTTTGATAGGAGGGCTTTGGGCAGGTTTTTTGGGAAGATGGGTTTGCCACAGACACAAGGAATATTCAGGGTCTGTGAAAGTTCATAGCTGTCTCGTTGCTCCACCTGCAGAGAAATGAATGAGAGGGGCTGCAGAGCTTTGTAGAACCGCAGAAGAAGTAGTAGAAATACGAAATCCAATCTCAGTTCTTGCCAAAGTGTTTTGGAGACAACCTACATACTCTTGCGGCAGGGAGGCTTTTGTAAATATACTGATCACATTTTTAGAATTGTATATGAGTGCAACTATTTAGTAACTGACAGACTGGTGCAGTTTTGTAATAACAAACCTAAAACGGCAATATAAAGGGTAACTTGCACTGAGGTTTTAGCCAGCCTGTTGTGGTGGCCAGTTGAGTCTATACCTCAAGATAAACTTCAATATGACCATCCTCGTAGCCAAGCTGATGGAGTAAGGGCTAGTTCAGTGGACTGTGAGGGGCATCTGAACTGCTGGGCTCAGAGGGTGGTGATCAGAAGACCTAAGTCCAGCTGGAGACCAGTCACTGCTGGTGTCCAGCTGCAGTTGACACTGGTTTCAGCTCTGTATGAAATCACATGGATGATGAAGCAACATGCACCCTCAGCAAGTTTGCAGCAGATGATACAAAGCTGATAGAGGTGGCTGACACACCAGGTGTCTCTGCTACCATCTAGAGGAACCTGGATATGCTGGAGAAGTGCAGAGTTCTGCACCAGAGGAGGAACCAACCCGTGCACCGGAGGCTGAGCACCAGGAATGCAGCTTTGCAGAGAATGATGATATTGTGGTCCTGGTGGACAAAAAGCTGAACATAAGCTAGCAATGCACCCTCGCAGCAAAGAATGCCAGTAGCTGCCACGGCTAGATTAGGAGGATAGTTGCCAGCAGGTCGAGGGAGGTGATCCTCCCCCTCTACGGGTCACTGGTGAGGCCACATCTGGAGTGCGGGGTGCAGTTCTGGGCTCCCCAGTACTGGAGAGACTTGGACATGGTAGAGTGAAGCTTGTGGAGAGCCACAGAGGTAGTTAAGGAACTGGTAGCATCCTGGAGCAGAGAAGGCTCAGGGGGATCTTATCATCTATCTGGTGGGGGTGTTTAATGGACATGGAGGCAGACTCTTCTCAGTGGTGCCTGGTGACAGGACAAGAGGCAGTGGGCACAAACTGGAACACGGGAAGTTCAATCTGAGCACAATAAAAAGGTTTTTGTTGTTACGGTGGTCGAACACTGGAACAAGTTGCCAGGAGAGATTATGGAGTCTCCTGTGGAGACACTCAAACCCAACTGGACACAGTCCTGGGCAATATCTTCTTAGTTGACCCTACTTTGAGCAGTGGCATTGGACTGGAGAGTCTCCAGAGAGTCTTCCAACTTCAACTATTCAGTGATTCTGTGAATTAGAGCCTTTCTAAGCTAACTCGGTCTCTTTATCATGAGGGAAAATGAGAGGTGTCTTTTTTTTCCTCCTTGCACCATCTCCTTTGAGTGTCTACATCATTAGGCCCTTTATGCTGAGGCGCAAAACACTTCACTAGTCAAACTGATCAGAAGGTCCATTGCTCTGGAAATCTATCCAAGCGAGGTACCACATCAACAGGTTGCCCAGAGAAGCTGTGGATACACCATCCCTGGAAGTGTCCAAGGCCAGGCTGGATGAGGCTTGGAGCAACCTGGTCTAGTGGAAGGTGTCCCTGCCCATGGCAGGGGGGTTGGAACTAGATGATCTTTAAGGTCCCTTCCAACCCAAACCATTCTCTGATTCTATGATTCTATGATTCTATCTTCTCCCAGTCCATGGTGAGCTGGCTGGACTAACGCGTTTGCTGTGCCAAGGTTGGCTGCAGGGGAGAGGTTTTAACGGGCAGGATCAGAGCGGGCCAACTGGTGGAGAAGGACCTTCTTGCAAAGGGGAGTTTGACTAGAGCGAGTGAGCCATATGGTGGTGAAACAGCTGCGTGCCCCTTGGCCAACAGGAGCCAGGAGGAGGCCTTTCCTATGAACACTTCCTGCCGGGGTCTGGGGAGCCCCCCCGGGAAGAGGGCAGCTGGGAATAAGATGCAGCTAGAGGAATTTTCCCAGCAGGCTGCTGACAGCCATCCATCTTTGGGGGTACAGCCCAGCCCTGGCCTGCCTTCCTGTTTCTTGTTTCATGGGTTTTGTGTTGGAGGCAGGATCCGCGTGTTCCACGGAGACATGCTCAGAAGCACAACTCTGCTCCGCCCTAGTTCATTTTCCAGACCAAAATCAAAATACCGAGGTTGATTCTTGTAAATCTGGGCTTTGTCATTTCTGCTAGCAGTCCTGATTTCCCGAACTGGGAGGGGCGAGGGGGAATCCTATTGTTGCACATTTGATGTCTTTTTTATGTCTTTTCTGATGTCTTGCCACATTTTGTGCTATCAGCATTTCTGTTGACCACTTCAACTTTTCATGAATCAAGTTCCTTCCTAAAAAAAAAAAAAACCAACACCACTTTAAATGCTCTGGAAGGTGAAAAATGAGATTAAAATCCCTTTGACATGATTTATTATGGTTTGCTGAGTACAATGTTCTGTATATGGTGCACTAAGCTGTCTCAAGCTGGGACAGAAGCTGATCTGGATTGATAGAATCCCAGCAATGGGATTAGCTAGGTGAATGTGCGGATCTGGTAAAACGTGAAAGTGGTCAGACACCTGACGGTGGCATGGCAGGGATCAGAATTATGAATCACATCAAGCAAAATTTAGTATGATGCCAAGGGGCAGGACACCTGATTCAGCTGTCTTGTGGAAACGACAGTAAAGTACATGTCTGTGCCCATCATCCCCTTGTTTTCTATTATTCTTTGACTCAGAGCACTGAATTATTTTGATGGTGTTGGAACAGATTCTTTTGATTTGACTGTTTCTTTTATCAGCAGATCATATCTCAAACTTGAAGTATGAGTCATCCTAAGCTTTTCCGTCAGGGTGGAAGAACATACTTAGCGCACACATCCACAGAGAGGAAAAAGCTACTTCCTAAAATGTCACGTGAGTTTCTTTGGTCAGTCCAGAAACGGGACTGATGATTCTTGCTCCGTGACACACCGAAATATCTGCTTCGCTCAGGTGGGTATAAGCTGCAGAATTCTGCTTTCCTCTTCAACTTGCAGTTTCTTCATCTTCACTCCTGAAAACCTTTCTCTCCCCTCCAGTTCCCCTCCCCTCCCCTCACCTTCATAACCACATAGCAGCCCTTTTAGCGCTCTTGAAAACATAGCGTGGGCAGGATCTTCTTACGGATTCATCCCTCAATTTGCTTTGGGGCAGGATTTGTACTACTATCTTTATGGCATTCCTTGAGTCCCTATCCTCTTCATCCCACCTTCTGCAGCTGTATGGGAAGGCAGCAAGATTCAGCTTGTGCAGCGCTGTTCCCCCGTTGTGCCTGTGAAAGTCGCTTCTGCCTGCATCAGCAAGACCACAGGAAACGCAACAAACTTGTTAGAATTTTCTTAAGCCCCCAGCTGCTTTCCAGTGACTTCTTTTGGAGGTTTCCTTGCAGGTCACCCTCACCTAAAAACCTCTTAGCAATTGTTAGCCAAGGGTGGTAAATTACAGTGTTTGTTACAACTGTTTATCTCATTTTCTTTGTGGGGAAGCTGTTCTAACACGCGTTGCTCCACGCTCAGACTCTACGCTATGCAAGGAAATATGTTATGCAAAAGAAGAGATGGATGATTTGGATTAATTTTTGTTAATCATATTGATACTTAGTCCTGCACACAATGGTCCCTGACTGGCATCTGAAACAGAATCCGCCTGGTTTGTCTTATGTCTGCTCCGTTGCTTCCGCGGGCTGTATTCAGGCCTTACCTATGCAGTTTCCTTTTAGGAACCTTTCAGCAACACAACTGTCTTCACCAATTCAGCAAGAGTTTAGTTAACAGGTATTTTATAAACAATTCTATTAATGCCTAAAGGATGAAGATCAGGCTCTCTTTCTCAGAACTACATGCTAATTTATTTTCTGTTTTATAGCTACAGAATGCCTCATCTCCCGGGTAACAGCAGTTCACGTGAACAGGCTGCTGTATATTACGCAGCGGAATCCATCGTCTCCATTGCTGCCTTCCTCATAGTTTTCATCATAGGTATCCCAGGCAACGGACTGGTGATCTGGGTAGCTGGTCTCAAAATGAAAAGGACTGTGAACATCGTCTGGTTCCTAAACCTTGCTGTGGCTGACTTCACGTGCTGCTTGTCCTTGCCGTTTTCCATCATTCATCTGGCTCTCCACGAACACTGGCCGTACGGTTGGTTCCTCTGCAAAGTCATTCCATCGGTCATAGTCTTCACCATGTTTGCTAGCGTCTTCCTGCTCGTGGCCATCAGCATTGACCGCTACCTCCTCGTGACAAAACCTGTCTGGTGTCAAAATCATCGAACAGTGAAATTTGTAACCCTCATCTGTGGTGGCATTTGGATCCTGGCCTTCATTTTCTGCTGCCCCGTCTTCCACTACCGCGAGACTAGCACTCACAGTGGCAAAACGGAGTGTGGGTACAATTTTGGAGACGACCAAGGGCTGGAGTATATGGACGATTCTGCCAGTGAGCTGTTGGAAGAATACTCGCCTTCAGCCTACAACGGCAACGACTCATGGGGAAGCCTCTACGAAGGCGCTCATTCGGTGTCCCTGCCCTTCGTGGCAATAAACATCAGCAGGGCTGTCTTTGGCTTTGCGCTCCCCTTCGGCGTGATGGCGGTTTGCTACGCCCTTATTGCCTTCCGAACGCGCGCCAACCAGTTTCACAAGCCACGCAACAGGATGCTGCGAACGATTGTGCTGGTAGTAACCACTTTCTTCATCTGCTGGGCCCCATACCACGTTGTTGGGATTCTGTACCTCGTACCTACCTTTGGAACGGAAGTGAGTGAGTCACTGATCTTCTGGGATCACCTCGCGACGTCGCTCGCCTACGCCAACAGCTGCATCAACCCCCTGCTCTACGTTTTTGTGGGACGGGACTTCAGGGCAAAGGCACAGCAGTCGCTGCAAGGAATCTTGGAAGGTGCCTTTACGGAGCAGCCGACACGTTCGATCCCTTGCTCCCTTGACAGGAGCAAGACTTCAACAGAGAAGGACATTAGCAGCACGGTGTGACGCAGGACTCGGATCAGCACTGTGGGAAGGGCGAGCTATGGCCCTGCCCAGCGATCTCTCCATTTAACAGCTTGTTTTGCTCCGACCCCCTTGCTTAACCTGCAGACGCACACAGGGCACTGGCACGATCAGAACGGCTAACCCCCTTTCTCTCCGGAGAGGTGGGAAGGTGGAAGTACCGGGAGTCATAATCTGAGGGAAGACTCCGGTAAAGCAGGAGACACGGAGTATTTAACCTCTGGAGAAGAAAGCGGGCTTGCAGAATGATTTGCGGTGGGATCGTGTAGTTTAACCTCTAAATTTCTAGATGAAAAGGTTATTGGAGTTGTTTGCACATGTCTATGTTCTACATCTCCTGTCTCTGATAAACTGCAGATGAAACCGTGTCTCTCCTTGAAATCTGTTATCCCATCTTTCCTCCCCTGGGATTCTACTTGGGGTCTGAGGTTTTCTTCCCTGAAGATGCCCTAGAGGGTAGTGCTGCATTTCCTTACAGCAGTGCCCTAGAACAGCATTCGCCCCCGTCAGCTCCACTGACCCGACTTCCGTGCCTCGGCCGCTTCTTGGCCCCAGCAAAGCCAGTGCAGTACAGCAGCGGCTGGGCGGGCGCACGTTTACGATCGGCACGCGCCGAGCGTAAACCCGAGTCCCAAACCTTCCTTTTAGAAAGCAGTCCAAGATTTCACAGATGTCCCTGCTGCGTTCTGAGATGGCACGTGAATGCCATCGGAATTTGCGCGGTGGTGACCCAGATGAGGCGGCTGGCTGTTGGGACTATCAGTCATTCCGCAGTGGAGAAGCGCTAACCTCTGGCTGACTCCAAGAAGGTAGGGAACCAGCCTGTTGTGGCAGGGTCAGGTCCTGCTCTCTGAAAGAGAGGTGCTCCTCACGTCTTCCTGGTGGAGGAGGATCAGTACATCCACCCAGCCAGGCTACTCGGGACTTGCCCAAGCTCGCACGCTGCCTGCTCCGGGAAAGCAGATGTAACCTAACAAGTACCCTAAGGAAGTAGTTTAAAATCCGCTTTTTGTGTCGGTCCTTCCTCATTCCAACAAATGCCATGACAGCCACTAAGCGCTGGTATCGGTTTTGCTTTGCCTTCGTGGAGAGCGCGAGTGGAAGGACTCGCTGCCCGGGGAACAGTCAGCTGTGAGAACTTCCAACTCCCTCCTGGCATCCTGAAGAGCCTCAGCCGTACAGCACTACAGCTGTGGGCTGGTAATTCTGCCCCACCCACCCCCAAACCCTGTTTCTGAGGGAAGTAGGGGAGGAAGCAAGCCCAGCTGAGAGGCGCCGCTGGAAAAAAAATTCAATACTGGCACCCAAGGCGTTAAACCATAAACATTCACTTTTTCTTTTTATTAAGAAAGCATGCACAAAAATAAACTCGTGAGATCACGCCCCTCTCTCCCTGACCACTGACACGAAGCACGGGGGCCACGCCACGCTGGGGGGGGCCGGCTGGCACCCCTCCCCTCCCTGCAGGGCGGCACCCACACCCACCGCCCGCCCGATGCCTTCCCACCCACCGACACCACACACTTATCTCAGGGGCAGAGGAACGAGGCTAATTTGCACACTGGGCTCGTATTTACATATGCAAATGAGGCGGAACTTAATATGCAGATGAGGCAAATATGCAAATGAGGAGCGCTTGGATATGCAGAAGGAGCCATCTCGGTTCGGTTTCCTTCGGGTGGTGTTTCCAGACTCCCACGGGGCCGGCTCTGGGTCACATCCTCGGCGAAGCCCCCACCTGGCACCTACCAGAGGCCGTCTGTCACGGCCGCCGCCCCCCCCTGCCACAGAAACCCGTCACACGGATTCCAAGCTGCATCATTCCCATCCCGAGGCAGCAGAACGAACGGCTGACACCATGCTGAAGTTGTCTGGGATTCCTCATTTCTTTTGGAAAGACTCAACCACGAACTCCCCCCCTCC